ATTTGTATTGTTGTTTGCATTGTTTTGATTGCATTGCATAATTAATTTTGTCTAATACTCCATGTTTGCGTGTTGCATGCATGTTTATACGCTTTTTTAGTATTATCGCCTTTATGAAATAAGATAATGATAAAAAATAAAACTTATAATATACTGTATGTATATAAAATTGTAAGTTAATTGTTATAAATAATTAAATTCTAAAATTAATATTTTGTTGAATATTATACAGAAAAATACAGTAATATTTATACAGATAACATATATGAAATAAGTTGTAAACATATTGATAATGAAAAACTAGTTGTTAATTAAATTTTTTATGCTTTTTTGGGCGTAGTCTTAATATTATTCTGATTACTATAAATGAAAACCTAAATTAATTAATTTCATATTTACAAACGTCATATACATATTTATCACAATGGTCAAAATACGCATTAAATAATTTATTAGTAATAGACTGTTGCTGTTGATGTAAAAATTTTATAAATGACGGTCTAATGTAGGAGATCGCAAATAAGCTTAAAATATTAACTGGCAACGCTAGCTCCCATAGAAAATACATTATAGCAATGCCCGCGAATGCCAAATTATGCATGCTTTGCGTTTCCCTGGTCTAATGCAATATATATTTTTAATATATAATTTGATATTATTGTTGTTTAAAGACTTGGACTCAATTGAAATTAGCATTTTGTGTATTAATTTAATTCTTAATTAATACAATGATTTCCTATGATATACAACGGTGTAAAGTGTATCCCATAGGGGACACATCATTAGGTGATCCCAATAGTAACCAATCGTTGCTTATTATTGTATATGGAGGGGTATTAACATTTAATTAATACATATCTTGCATGATTATTGAAATAAAGTATATTGTTTAAAATAAATCCTGTATTTTAAGAGCGTATGCAACATTGAACAACAAATACTCTGGGTATTATCAGGTGGCATTTACTCCAAGTTTAATATTACATTAACAAGGTTTAAAAATTACATTCGCCTATATAAACATTTAGAAGAAAATCCGGTTTGTATAATAATTATGTGTTCTAAATTAAATATAATCCTACAAATATATTACTATTTATTATAGGATATTGATCTTGCACTACAAACTATGACAATTGACCAAGCTTGGTGTGATATATCTAATATCCAATGGTATCGGCATGATCATAATATGGCATTTCTGAGCGGCAAATATATTGAAAAACCAGATTTGTCAAATATGATCAACCAATTCACCATGCATCATTGGCTGCTAATTTTAGCATCATTATTTTTAATATCATTTGTTGAATATTTGAAAACTCATTTAATACGTTAGTAAACATTATATTAATTATTTAAAAAGATTAATTATAAATAAAAATATTTCTATTTAGATACATGCAAAGTAACAAATATTACCGAGATAATACTTAACACAATAAGACCATTATTAAATCAGGCGATAAACAAAAATCAAAACAATTTAAAAAACACATGGGATTTTGCAACACTAATATTGACCTTCATGTTTAGCGCAGGTATATTATCGTCACTGTTAACCCAACCATGGCGATTTATTAATTCAATGGACGACCTGCTTGAAACAAATACCACAATAATTATGGCAAACTATACAAAAATATGGTATGTCTATAGTGCTATAATTAACCATGATGGTGAACCCGACGAGAAACTATATAGATTATTTACAACAAGAAAAGTAATATTTATTAATGAAAACTCACCGCACGATGCAAATGTAATTGTTATAATTAATTTAAACAATGAATATATAAATTTATATAATTAATTAACGAATTAATACCATGTTTAGAAATTATTCCGTGCGGTCGAGAATCGGGAAATAGTTTACATAAGAGAGGGCTCTAATGTTTTAAGAAGACTGTTAACACACATTGGCTTAAAGTTAGAGATTGGGTCCGAAAAGTATTTGCTGTCATATAAGGGACACCCCATTAGGAAATGTACCACAAATTGTACGAATGATAAACACAAACATAAAAGACATTTAGTGTTTAAAATTATTCAGATTATGATTGAATCGGGAATTAATATTGATTGTGAAAATCGGATTCAAACTAGTGTTACATTTAATGGATTACGGAATTTGCAAAATCAGCTTGATGATAATTCTAATCATGATAATAATAATAATAATAAACAAGTGTATATAAATAATATAAATGATAAGCAAAATACTGGCGATAATAAATCTATAGAGTTGCATTTTATGGTTGATATATTTATTGTGTTTTTTGTATTAATTGTATTAACTGTTGTTGTATTTGTCGGCGAATTAATTGTCGCAATATATTTCTTCTATTGATTATTTATTGTTAGATACAATTTTATAAACAACTTTCTTTATAAATGAATTATGGTCAAATAATTTATAAACCTTATGTATTAAAGTGTATTAAATAACAACAACTTAATTATAAATTATTATTAGGAATATTGTAAATTATTTATTACATTCTTATTTTAGTCAAATCATATGAGTTTTAATTATTATTACAATAACAATTAATTTTGCAAATTATAAACAATAACAAATATTTATATAAAATTTTTGATCACTAATTTATTAGCGTAATAATAAATAAATCAATTTATAAATTAATATTGCTAATACAATAAATATAAATAATTGTGTAAAATAGTTTTATTAAAAAGCATTTATAACTCATGATAAATATTTTTTTCTAATATTTAATAACATTAAATTTATTGTAACAATATCAATTAAGACGAAATGCATAACAATTAATAAATACATTTATATTATTTATGTACTTATTACCTATTGACTAACATATTGTATTAATGTTTCTATTAACTGTAAACAAACATATGGTAATTACCGGTACAATGTTTTAATGTATCGTCATATTGTCATATTGATTATATAATTATTTATCAATAGTTACATTGATTACAACTAACCTTCTTACATGTAGATAAAAATATAAAATTGTTGTATTGTATTGTATTATAGTTAAAATAAATTAAATAATATCACAATTAATGTTACTGCAATTGTCAATGGTTATAATAATGCATTTAAAAGAAATTTTATCATGTGTTTTAATTTAATTTAAAGTTTTACAATCTCTATGAATCGGTCCGATATAAACCGGTGTAAAGTTTATCCCATAGGGGACTCATTATTAGGTAATATCAATAGTAACCAATCGCTGCTTATTATTGTATATGGAGAGGTATTGTGACATTTAAATTAATATACTGTATATTGCATTAAAATTTTATGATTTTATACTATTTAATTAAATATTTCATTTTAAGAGTGTATGCAAGTTTGAACAACAAATACTCGAAGTATTATCGGCTGGTATTTACGCTACGTTTAATATTACCTTAAGAATGTCTAAAAAATATATACATATACACAAACATATGTCAGAAAATACGGTTGGTAGAAATAATTTTAAATATGTCACATTTAAATCTGAAATGCATTTAATAATTATAGGAGATTGATCTTGGATTACAAGCTATGACAATTAATCAGGCATGGTGCGGCATATCAACTCTCCAATGGTTTAGGCATGATCATAATCTGGCATTTCTCAGCGGCAAATATATTGAAAAACCAGATTTGTCAAATATTATCCATCAATTTACCATGCATCATTGGCTGCTTATTTTAGCATCATTAATTTTAATATCACTCGTTGAATGTTTACGAGATTATTTAATTTGTTCGTATGCAGACAATTAATCAATTAATTAATTTTAATTAAAATGTATTTTTAGATACATGCAACATAATAGATATCAGCGGGATAATAATTAACACTATCAGACCTCTATTAAATCAAGCATTAAACAAAAACCACTGGATTTTGGGAACCATGTGGTGTTTCGCAACACTTTTATTGACCTTCATGTTTAGCGCGGGTATACTATCAGCGATGATAGACCAACCATGGCAGTTTATTGACTCAATGGATGATCTGCTCAAAACAAATACCACCATAATCATACCGAACAATACAAGAATATGGAATGTATATGGTCGAATAATTAATAGGGAGGTTCATGAAATTGACGACACACTATATAAATTATTTACAACAAGGCGTGTGTTATTTATTAATGAAAACGCACAGCACGATAAACATGTAAGATTAACCATTAAGCTATTTTAATAGTATAATTGCAGGCAATTAACTTACTAATTGTTTTAATATGCAAATATGCAGGTTTTATAATTTAATAAATTAATCCTATAATTTTGATAATCATGATACTTTATATGACAATTGTTTTATGATTAGAGATTATTTCGTTCGGTCGAGAATCGGGAAGTGGTTTATTTTAGAGAGAGCTCGTATGTACTAAACAGACTGTTAAAACATATTGGTTTAAAGCTGGCGATTGCGACTGAAAAGTATTTGCCCGCATATAAGGGACACCCCATTAATAAATGCACCAAAAATTGTTTGCATTATAAACACAAACATAAAAGACATTTAGTGTTTAAAATACTACAGATTATGGTTGAGTCGGGAATTAATATCGATTGCGAAAATCGGTTAATAATTAGCGATACTTTTAGTGGATTACGAACATTGCAAAAGCAACTTGATGCTAATCCTAATCACAATAAACAAGATGTGTTTATTAATGATATAAATGCTAAACAAAATACTGTTGATGATAAATCTATTGAGTTGTATTTTATGGTCGATATATTCATTGTGTTTTTTGCATTCATTGGATTTATTGTTATTGTATTTGTTGTGGAATTGATTGCTAAAAATGTATCTAATTATATGTGTATTGTTAGAAGAAATTATAATGTTTTACATCAATAAATTTATAAGCTAGTATTATTTATATAGTAACTAAAAATGTAGTTCAAATAAATTATATTTATTAATGATAAGTCGTATACATTGTATAATATTTAATTTATAAATTAAAACAGATTTTTAAATTAATTTTTACCCGTTTTATAAACTTTACAATTTTGCTAATCCAAGCAATGATTTAAGGATTTGCAGTCCGGCCTCAGGCTTATCGGTGGGCACCATATGTCCGGCCCCTCTAACCACCACAAAACTCAATCCCTTTTCGTAGTTCTGTATAAAACCGCCGATCACTCCATCACTGGTGCCGTCGACTGTCCACTCCCTGTCCCACACAAACAATACATACAGTTATAGTAATGTTTACAAAACATAGCATTAATGCAATACTAAAGCCATGGCATACCTGTAATGACCGGCCGTTTGAAAGCCTAGACTCTCGACAAACCGTTGATTTGAAATGAAATTACAAATTGAATCGAAGTCTCCGTTATATACAATCAGTTTTGGTATTTTATATGTATTTATCAATTGCTTAACAATGTCTGCTTGCGGTGTATTTAAGTGTTGCCAATCGTAGTCAGTGCCCACTTGTGCCCACTTTTTACTGCCCGGCCGTACGTGTAGTGCCCGCCGGACGGCATCGGTGTTCAGGTATGCAGTTATGCCGGTTCTGACACATTCTGGCCGCGCGTTTACCCCGATGTTTGACTTGAGTTTATAATTAATGCCAATCCGTTTAAATGCTGGCCTTATATACGTGTCAAATAGCGAGTGCGGCGGTATCTCAACGTCTACGGGACAGTCGTCGTAGATGTTGTATGGGTTGATAACATTGGTTGTATTTATTTGTACTAAATCGCACTTGCTACAAGTTTATTAATGTAAAATATAGATAAAGTTACTAATTTTAAATTACTAAATTAACTGTCTATTAATAGTTACGTTTTATTGGGAGGGTTACTGAAATCGCACTGGTGTTGAACCGCACCGGCCGTACACTCGCAACAGTTTTCCAGTTTTTTCTCGTAGGCATCGGTTGTGATCAATCCGTGGCCTAAAGCATAGTCATAGACGGATTGATCAAAATATAGTTGATTCTGTTTGTTTAATAGTAATCCATTTCCAATAGATAATCCTGATGGATAAATTATTTTAAGTAATGTACATTAATTTGCATAATTAATAAAATCAAATACCTTTTAAATTGATGGTAGAGTTATGTGAATATATTTTTGTGGCTAACATTGGTATATAAACGCCGGCATAACTCTCGCCTGTGATGTAAAACTCGTTTTTCCTAAATTGTGGAAATTTTATGAAAAAACTTTCGAGAGATAAGTAGTTATCCAAAGCAGTCGACTCGTCATTATTAATGTAGTTATTATTGTCGTCATAACTAAATCCCGTTCCCGACGGCGACTCCAGGTATAAGACATTTGCCACTTGAAAAAACTTTCGAGAGATAAGTAGTTATCCAAAGCAGTCGACTCGTCATTATTAGTGTAGTTATTATTGTCGTCATAACTAAATCCCGTTCCCGACGGCGACTCCAGGTATAAGACATTTGCCACTAAATTCCAACTATGTTCGGCCAATTCAACAGTTTTACCATCTTGTTTGAATCTGAAGGGACCATTCTCAGTGGACATACCCAGTAGTGAACTGGCACAGGGGCCGCCACTTAACCATAGGACTACCGGTGCATTTTGCGGGTCTTTTTCGCATTCAAAAAACCAATAGAAATAATGCCTTCCCTTCGAGGCATTCAAATAACCGGAATATTGTTTGAATTGAATTTGCTTTGAAAGGCCCGGAAGTGACACAATCTCGTCGTCCAATGCATTGCAAACCAGACATACGTTTAGCACAAATGCTATACTAATTAATATTTTATTCATATTAAATACTGTAGTTATTATTTCATTCTGATAGTAGCAATATTTATCATATTATATAGAACTTATTTTTTAGAAATTACCTTATATACAATACTTGAGAAAGTTTGCACTAAAATTATCGATATGAATTTAATCTTATAGGTACTGTCTATAATTCTAAACGTTTAAATACGTTAATCCTTTTATCTTGTTTTATGTACATAAAAGTTAATTAAGATTAATTATGGACGAAATAAAATCGTTTTCAATGTAAAATATTGTGATATCATTAATGATAATAATTAATTAAAATTATTATAATACACATTACATTGTATGGGATTTTTGAAATGAAATTTTGTACTAACTTATCAGTTTGAATATTATCATCAAGTACAGTTTTTTATTGTTATTTATTAAAAAGTCTTTGTGACAATTAATTAATGAAGTTATTACTAAAATTAAAAACAATTTAATATATTTATTTAAAAATGTGACAATTTTAACAAACTAAATAAATAAGATAAAATTTCAAACTACAATTAACTATAAATTATTCTAACAACTAAATTGCTATTTATAAATAATTACTAATACCTGTATTATTATGTTTAAGTTTATTGAATTAATAAAATTTATTAATATAAACCAAAACTAATTTTAATTATTTAATTTGACAAAAGTTTATTCGATACAATAATTTTAAAATGCTTAAATAATGTTTGATTCAAGATACAATTTTAACACGAGTAGATAATAAAATTTTATAATTAAATCAATGATTAATTCAATAATAAATACAATAACTGTTAATTCAAACAATGCAAACATCACAACAAATATATCGATCATAAAATACAGTTTAATAATTTTATTATCAGAATCTGTATTTTGTTTGCCATTTAAATCATTAGTAAACACACGTTTATTATCATGATCAGAATTAATTTGTTTTTGCAATTTTTTTAATCCGTTTAGTGTTGAGCTAATTATGACCCTATTTTTACAATTAATATTAATTCCCGACTCAACCATAATCTGAATTATTTTAAACACTAAATGTCTTTTATGTTTGTGTCTATCATTCAGACAATCTTTTGTACACTTTCTAATGGGGTGTCCCTTAAGTACTGGCAAATACATTTTTGAACCAATTGCTAGATTTAAATCAATGTGTTTTACCATCCTTATAAGCATGGTCCAGCCCTCCCTGGCGTACAACACTTGCCTGCGTTCAACGGCTTGGAATAATTTCTAAACATAATAAAGTATTTATTTGTTAAAAATAAATAGTTTTATAATTTCAATTAAAATAAATTATATAATTTTTGTAAAACTTATAAAAGTTGCTACCCTTGGATTAGACCCTCCTATCATATTATATAGAACTTATTTTTTAGAAATTACCTTATATACAATACTTGAGAAAGTTTGCACTAAAATTATCGATATGAATTTAATCTTATAGGTACTGTCTATAATTCTAAACGTTTAAATACTTTAATCCTTTTATCTTGTTTTATGTACATGAAAGTTAATTACGATTAATTATAAACGAAATAAAATCGTTTTTATTGTAAAATATTGTGATATCATTAATGATAATAATTAATTATAATTACATTGCATTGTATAGGATTTTTGAAATGAAATTTTGTACTAACTTATCAGTTTGAATATTATCATCAAGTACAGTTTTTTTAATTTTTTTGTTATTTTTTAAAAATTCTTGGTGACAATTAATTAATGAAGTTATTCCTAAAATTAAAAACAATTAATAGAGTTATTTAAAAATATGACAATTTTATCAAGCTAAATAAATAAGATGAATAAGATAAATAAGATTTTATTTGACAAGAGTTTATTTAATACGATAATTTTAAAATTATTAAATAGCGTTTGATTCAAGGTACAATTTTAACTCAAGCAAATAATAAAATTTTACAATTAAATCAGCAATTAATTCAATAATAAATACAATGACTGTAAACCCAAAAAATGCAAACATCACAACAAATATATCGATCATAAAATACAGTTTAATAATCTTATTATCAGAATCGGTATTTTGTTTGCCATTTAAATCATTAATAAACACACGTTTATTATTATGATTAGAATTAATCTGTTTTTCCAATTTTCTCAATCCGTTTAGTGTTGTGCTAATTATTACCCTATTTTTACAATTAATATTAATTCCCGACTCAATCATAATCTGAATCATTTTAAACACTAAATGTCTTTTATGTTTGTGTCTATCATTCAGACAATGTTTTGTACACTTCCTAATGGGGTGTCCTTTAAGTACTGGCAAATACATTTTTGAACCAATTGCTAGATTTAAATCAATGTGTTTTACCATCCTTATAAGCATGGTCCAGCCCTCCCTGGCGTACAACACTTGCCTGCGTTCAACGGCTCGGAATAATTTCTAAACATAATAAAGTATTTATTTGTTAAAAATAAATAGTTTTATAATTTCAATTAAAATAAATTATATAATTTTTGTAAAACTTATAAAAGTTGCTACCCTTGGATTAGACCCTCC